TGAAAAATATGTTTTATTAATTATTTTTATTATTACAGATAACAAATTGGTCAAAAGGACACGCTTTCGAAGGTGCTCTTCGTAAATTATTTAATGATAATGGAATAATTGCGTACATAATTCAAGTATCTGAAGGAGATAGAGGATTAGATTTATTACTTTCGAACCAAGGTAATCAAATCTGTGTACAGTCTAAAGATAGAGAAAACGCTCTTACATTATCCATGGTCGAAAACTTTGAAGCTACGATGATTCATTTTAAAAGTTCATTAGGAATTTTGATTTATAATAGTGAGACGATGAAAACAGAAAAATATTTGACTAAACAAGCTAAACTTTGGTTAGACAATTCGACTCAAGAATTAATTGTTTGTAACAAAAAACAAGTTGTTGAGGAAATTAAGAATTTTTTCAAAAATGAAAAAGATTCGATAGAAGAATTGATTTTAACTGATTTTAAAGCAGATAAATTTTCTTTAATGGGAATTATTTCTGAAAATATGCATATTAGAAAGATGATAGTAAAAAAAAACAATAATCGATTTTTTCCTTACTAAACTAGTTATCTTTATTATCTGTTCAGTTTAATACCGAACAGATTTTTCTTAAAGTATTTCCTTCTAATAAAATTATTATCGTTTAAAATGCATCAAACTATTTTTCTATGTTTATTACTTTTATTTATCTTTTTCTTTTTGGTTTTGAAAAAGACCACAAAGAAAACAAAGATAATTGTTTTTACTGGAACTATCGGTGTTGGCAAGACAACTTGTGTTAAATTATTCGAATCTTTCCTTAAATCAAAAGGATTTTCCGTAAAACGTTACAAAGAAATTTCATTGCAAGTTAACGAAGAATTTCATATATTTAATAAAGACAAACCAAAGAATTTTCTTTTTTTCCAATACGTTTTGTTACATCACTTTAAACAACAAATTTACGAAATTAAAAAGAATAATTTTAGTTTTTTATAGTTCCTATGGAAGGTCGATTATATTATTCTCGATCGTACTCAGAAGGATATGAAGATGTTCAATAAATTTTTCCAAGATCCGAGCGAGAAAGAATATATCGACAGAAAAGTTGATGAGATTGAACCACTTGACTTCTATAAGGTTGTTTTTGTGACTGCTCCGATCAAAATGTCTATTGAACGACAGCAAAAGAGAGCTCGTTTAGGTGAATTGGTCGAAAGGGAGTATTTGGAAACGCTTAATACGTATTATCTTGAAGATATTGATTTGGTTTATCCTGAGAATTTAAAATTTGAAAATATTGTTAATCTTTGTAGTAGTGATGATTGCGCACAATGTCTCGGTATTAAGATCTACGAGAGTTTCTTTGATACTCTTTTATAGCTCTTTTTTTATTATCAATTATATTATTTGTCATTAAATTATTCAACTAGTGATAACTGGTTGAACCTTTAACTATGTAAAAAAATGAATTCTTCAAATATCAATGATCTACCAAATGAAATTCTAATTTTGATATTGTACCATATTTTTTAAACAAAAATAACCTTATCTGATTTACCAACCACTCTATCTATCAAATTAGTTTGTAAACAATGGTACGATTGTTATCATTTGTTATTCAAGACTCGCGGAACCAAATATATTTTAACGCCCAATACACGTACAATTGAAAATTATACTCCTATCAAAAAATCAGAATATTATTTTAAAATTGATGGAGCGTTAGTTATAGAAAATAACACTTCAATACTACAAACTTATAAAGAATATGAGTTTTCTAAAAAAGAATGTGAACGATGTTTAGAAAAACAAATTATTTTTAAGCATAGCTTTTGGTTTAAAGAAAAACTTGATTGTAAAGTGTCAAAATGTAAAAGAAGAAATCGAAGTCATCATAATCACAAGATTTGCAAGAAATGTTATGAAATTTATGAAATTTATTTTACAAGTTTTGACGATTTGGTTTTTTTTGTTTAAATCTAATCAGTTATTTAACCGATTAGAATTTTATTGATATAATCTGAAAATGAAATCGATTAATATCAACAATCTACCAAACGAAATTCTAATTCTAATATTATACCATATTTTTCAAACAAAAATAACCTTATCTGATTTACTAACCACTCTATCTATCAAATTAGTTTGTAAATAATGGTACGATTGTTATCATTCATTATTCAAGACTCGCGGAACCAAATATATTTTATCACCTGTTTCATGTATTTACGAAGATTATACTCCTATCAAAAAATCTGAATTTTATTTTAAAAATGAGGATGGAGAGATGATTATAGAAATTGGCAAACAAATTCAAATAATGTTGCAAACCACTGAAGAATATGAATTATCTAAAAAAGAATGTGACCGATGTTTAAAAGAAACAATTCTTCAAAAGTGGTTTATGATTTTTAAAGATCAATTTTATGATTGTAAAGTTTCGGGATGTTCTTCTGATTCAGCGTACCATTTTCACAAGATATGCAAGAGTTGTTACGATATTTACTTTTTGAATTTTGAATATTTATCCAATCGTAATTCTGTATTTCGTTATTTGACAACTATCTAGTTTTTTTAAACCAGTTAGTTTTTTTCAGATGTAAAATGGATTGTCTTCCAATTTTTTCCAAAATATTAGATTTTAAAAAATATTCTTTATCAAATGAAGAACCGTTATATTGCCGTTCGAAATTAATAGAACCGATTGAATCAAATCGATTTTACATATACGATGCTATTGATTCCACATCCCACCCTGATAAAAAATATATATTATCTTTGTTGACTATTTGGGAGGATGGAACAAAATTCACAATTAATATTTCTGTCGATTCTGTTTTTTTTGATATTAAACTTTATCCCGAATTCAATTTTATATATTATATTCTTGAGTTTGAACCAGATAGTTACGAAAGAATCAAACGACAACCTTTCGATTCGACAGAAAAATATTATTTTTTATGTTTGTATTTTCATAATCAACGAAAACGTAAAGAAGCTTTACAAAAACTCACGATAAAACGTGACAATTTTATTCAGAATTCTGATAATTTTCGATTCAAAAGCATAGAGGAATTCGATCAATACTACGACACGTATTCGGACAATGAGACATGCTACTATAGAAAATTCGCGAGCGAAAACGATTTTGAGTTAGTTGGATGGTACGAAATTACTGCTGAAACTATTTATGATGACATGTTGATTACTTTAAATGATATAAAGAAACTCGATTACTACGAGATACCTAAGCTTTTGTTACTATATTGGGATATCGAAACTTCATTGAGTCGTGGTCCAGGATATTTTTCTTTGGCTGAGAATGAAGAAGATTATGTTTACATGATTCAATTTGATATTGTTTTTTACAATCAAACATCTCCTATTCAACGATTTTGTTTATCAACCATACCTATCAATAGCGAACTATTCGATCAGAAATATCCTGAAACGTCAATAATTTTTATAGAATTAGAATCCCAAGAAAAACTTTTATTAAAATTCGCTGAATTATTCGGTAATTTTAGACCAGATTTCGAAATAGGATATAACACAGGTCAATTTGATTGGAATTTCATACTTAAGAAAGCTAAACTTTTACAGATCGATGACGAGTTTACAAGAATATTGACCAAAACAAAAATAGATATGCAGTTCCAAGTAAGTCGGGTAACTGTCAGAGTTGTTGATAGAGACATATCGAAAGAAAATTTGAAATATGAATTTGCCGGTATCAATATGTTCAATCGAAACATAAAAATATCCCCAACTGAGAATATGCAATGTGAATTTATGAGAGTGCCAGGAACTGTATTCCTTGATTTTCTTGTTTGGGTCAAGAAAACTTTTCAAACAGAGATAACCAACACTCTCGATGCTGTGTTAAAACGCTGTGGTCTTTCTGGAAAAATCGATCTACCATATGTTCTCGCTAAAAATTCTATCAATCTACATTGTATGTTTGTTTATGCAAATACGATAAAGTTTAAAAACAACAGTCAAATATTGAATAGATTATCCGAACAGCTGTCAAAAATGATCAAAATCCCAGTACCGCTCTGTCTAGCAGCATTCCATGTTCCTGATTCGACTCTACAAGATTATGCTATAGAGTTAGCTTATTATTGTTTGGTTGATACTTTACAATTACATGAATTAAACCTTAAAAGAAATATAATAGGAGATTACATTCAACGAGCTACCATATCATGTGTAACTATTTCAAATGTTTTCACTAACGGAGTTGGTTGTTTGGTACAAAATTTAGTTTGTAGATGTGCCGCTTCAGATAAAATTTTAGTTTCTTCTCGTTGTAAAGAAACAGTCAATCAAGGAAAATACGCAGGAGCTTTAGTTATTCCTCCTAACAAAAACATTAAAAGGCCTGTTGCGGATGTTGATTTCACATCATATTATCACCATTCCATAATTCAGAATAACATCTCTCTAGAAACATGTGTTTCAAAAGAATCGACAGATCCATCATTGAACATTATAATCGATAATGATATTGTCTATGGTAAATTTGTTCCACATAATGGTATTATCGAAAAGATGGGGATTATGCCTTTGATGTGTAAAGAATTATTAGAGAAAAGAGCAGAAGCAAAAAAAAATATCAAATTGTACAAATCCGACAATACAAAACTTCGTTATTTTACATCATTGTCCGAAGCGTTAAAAATATTCGCAAATTCGATTTACGGTGAAACTGGATATCGATTTTCTCTATTGTACTGAGAAGAAGTTGCATCATCCATCACAGCATTTTGTCAAGCAACATTACGACTAGTAATCAATTTTGTGCAAGAGCAAGGTTTTATAGTCGTTTATGGCGATACAGATTTGATATTCTATTCATTACCAGAATCTTATTTCGTTGAGTTGGATTCAAAATACTCAAACAAATTGTTAACCAAAAAAGAATATTGGGAAGAACAGATTAAGCTAACGATCCAACAATCCCAAATCCTTGAAAAAAAAATCAACGAATATTTACAAAAAACAATGAAATCCACATATCTTAAAATGGCATATGAAAAAACCTTATACCCATTCTTGATTTTTGGTAAAAAACATTATGTTGGAATAGAACATTCTCACGAACCTGATCTTGATAATTTAAAATTATTTTTGCGGGGTTTGAAATTAGTTAAGCGAAATGTTTCAGAGTTTTACAAGATTGTTAGTAAAGAGTTGATATATTCATCGCTTGGATTTAATAAGGACTTTTCGATTAGAACCGAAGATATAAATCAAAAGAAAATAGTTGAACAAATAATCGCAGATTATGTGAATAAGAAAGAAACAATACTAGATTTATTTGTGCTTACAGCAAAATACGACCCTACCTACGCGTTTGTTTCCGCGATAGACTATATACAACTTTTTGATAAAAAAAAATCTGAACCTATACTCCAACAAATATCAAAATCAACAAAGAAAAAAGGAAATACGATAGTATTAAAATTTGTTGCGAGACTAAATGGCACGATCAAACCTGGCTGTTTTTTTATTATATTGAAACAAAACAAAATATGTCAATTTCAGACAAAATGATTCTTGTTGACCAATTTGATCCCAGGAAGAATACCATTGACATCATTTATTATTTCAATAGTTTACATGACATCGTAGCGCATCTATTAGGTTGCGAAGAGAAACAAGCTTTAAAGAAAATCGAGGAAATATTTAATCTGGATAAATCCAAAAAGCAACAAAGAATAACAGATTTTTTCTCAGAAAAGAATTCAGTTACTCTAAAAGAGAACAAACGAAGAAAACTAAATTAAATTTGTACAACCTCAACGATATATAAATGGTAAGGATTCTTTTCTTTATTTTGTTTCAACGATGTTTTATAAATTATTTGAGAGTAATCGTATTAAAATATTAGATTACATTAAAATAACAAAACTCTATTCAAAAGAACAACGGTCATCTGTTATAATAAACTACCTATCACAAAATAATTTCAATGTAGAAAAATTCAAAGAATTTTTAATATTGACAGAAAAATGTAATCGTTTAAAATATTCATCCGATCTTTACGAATTAACGATTGACATTGACAACGAGATAGAAATGATAATACTGACTGAAACTTTAAAACACAACAATATAATATTCACAAAAGAACATATATTTTATTGTAATTATACTTATTCTTTCTGTTCAGTATTTATACCGAACAGAAACTTATCTTTGTAATTTAACAGGATGCCTCGTCAAAAACGTACAAAGAAGAAACGTTCTTCACCTTACTCATAAACAAAAAAAAATAAATTAAAATTTAAAAATGTGATATACGATGATATTTTATATATGATAATCTTATTTTTGATTCCTGATGATATAACCAGATCCTCCAAATTCAAGTTCAATGATCGAAGATTCATCAATTTTTGGCGAATCAAATTTGTGGATTCACGATTTTATCACATTTTCAAATATTATTTTTCTCGTTATGGAACTAAATACTATTTGATACAAAAATATAATCCTCTCTACAAACCTCCAAATCGTTTTGACTGGAAGATTCGCTATTGCAAGAAAGAAATTTTGATTGATATCGACAAAGACAAATATGTTAAACTCCGTTCTTATGATGGAACACCTTATTGTGTATTAAGTGGCGAGACTTTAATCTTTCTTGAATCAAATAAATTTAATGATTATCAAAAAAAAAATGTGATGTTTGTGGGGATTTTACATATTGTGCCATGTGCCTTTATGATTTTCACAGAGACGATATATCTGAAACTAGAGGAATATTGGAGAAAGTGACACCTGCGATTGACATTGGAAATTTTCAATGTTATTATATAAATAATTGTATTAATTGTAGAGAAGGTATTCTATCATCAAATCAGGATATATTTTTATATAAATAAATATTCAAGTTCTGTTCAGTATTTACTGAACAGAAAATTATTTCGTTGATCTATCATGGAACAAAAAAAGGATTTTACCTTTATTAAATACAATCATAATGAGAAAAGAAAAAATAAGCGACAAAAACTTGATCCGTATTTTAAAAACAAAATTAGAACCAAAAACAATCAGAAATTCGTCTCTTTATTTGATGATATATTACATATAATATTTTTTTTCTTAGCTCCTTCCAAACTCAAGCTTGATAATCTGGAAAACGGTGATTTTCGACAATTAAAGTTCGTTTGTGCACTTTTTATTCATTTTACCACTATTATTTTAAACACCATGCTACCAAGTATTATCTTGTACCAAAATACATCACTCTCTACTCTATCAAAAAGTACGAATGAAATGTCTGCTATTGCCCCAAGACTATTTGGATCAATATTAAGATCGATAACTGTTTTCAGAGACATAAACTACGATCATATTTTTTTAACAATATACCCAACGATAACGAATTACATGTTGAACTAAGTCAATTATTATTTGTTGATTACCAAACATATCTAACATATGGGAAAACTACATGTGAAGCTTGTTCTTCGTTTACATACTGTGAAAAATACGTTTACACTTTCTATCAGAACTCACCTTCGACTTGTCAATCGCTTTTGGACGCTTTAACAAAACCAACCAGCAGCGATTTTTATTTAACGTACAAAGTAAATCTTTGTGAGCACTGTGAAAAATATTTCACAAATTTGTTTATGTGCCAAGACTACAATGCTCTCTTGGATTCACAAACTTAGAAATTATTATCAATTCAATCATTTGTGATTCAATGTAAAAACTATTTCCTAATATATTTATAAATAGAAATTGCTATGATAAAGGAATCGGTTCGTCTTCAGAACACTTGTGATTCAATGTAAAAACTATTTCCTAATTTATTTACAAATTGGAAATTGCTATGATAAAGGAATTGGTTTTGGTTAAAAAATTTCAGAATATTTATATTTCTTGGTTTGATTGTACTTCAATTTTTTATATCTAATCAGTCTTTTGACCGATTAGATTTTTCCTTCAGTAATTCATTGAATCCTATAATTTATTTTCAGATTTTAAATATATATATAAATCTAGTTTTCCTAAGAAACAAAAAAAAAAAAATGGGTTTTGAAATCGAGATTGGTTCAAACCTATCTTTGTGTTTGATCGAGTTGCAAAAGCTTTTTTTCTGTATCTCACTATTATATTTCGCATTTATTATGTTTAAATGACCTAATCAGTCCAAGACCGATTAGACTTTTCTTTGCACAATTTCTTTCAAAATCCATCAGTTCAAGAAAGAGGTGAGGGAGATTCACAACCTGTAATAATCTTTACTTACGTAATAATCTTTACTAACTCTCACTTTCGCTAACTCGGCTACTTCATCACGGGTTGTTTGTCGACTGGTTTTCATAATTGTGATTCATCTCGAATTATTTATGTCGTAATTCCAGATGCCTAAAGTTTCTTCATTAAAATATTACGCGGTTGCTAAAGGAGAAAAAACTGGAATTTTTTTATCATATAAAGAATGTGAAAAATATGTTAAAGGTATTTCTGGAGCTTTGTATAGATCATTTTATACAAAGATCGAGGCTCAGAAATTTATCGATCAACAAAATATCGATGATTTTAAAGATGTAATTGTATTAAACGTTTGGACAGAAGGATATTGCAAAAGAAATGGATTATCAGATGCTATCGGAGGAATAGGTGTATTTTTTGGAGATAACGATATTAGAAATCTATCTGAATGATTACCTGGTGAACGTCAAACTAATAATCGCGCAGAAATCTATGCTGCGATTAGAGCTCTTGAAATTTGTGATAAAAAGAAAAATCTAATTATAAATACTGATAGTAACTACGTTATCATCTCTAGAGATGTTAAAAAACCAAAAACTAATTTTGATCTAGTTAATAGATTCAATGATTTAATTAAAGAACGTGAAGGGAAAACATATCTAAAACATGTGAAGGAACATAGTGGCATTTATGGAAATGAAAAGGCTGATAGGTTAGCATATTTAGGTTCAAAAAATCCGTCTATTGAATTGATTTTACCAGAACGTAAAAATACTATCAAAGATTATTTCAAATAATTTTTTGTTTTTTTTTATTTTTTATTTTTTTTTTTATTTTTTATTTTCAATAAATAATATATATTTTTACAAAAATTAAATGCGATTCGTATTAGCGATTGGGAGGTGAGGGGCCTAATCAAAAATTCGTATC